CTCTTTGTTTGTCATGCAAGTCAGATGTTCCCACCTCAACATCTTTAAACTTACTCACCCAACGAAGCAAAGTACTCACATCAACACAGTCCCCATAAACAGCTTGCATTCTGTGATGAATTTCCTTTGGGGTGACACCTTCTGCTGTCAAGAATTCAATGATTGCATGTTGCTTAAGTCGCAATGACCAACCATCTGTGCGGGGTTCCATACGTTGCACTTTAACAACACAACCGTTGAATGCTAAGGCTTCCCACCAAAATGGAACTGTAGAGGAGAGTCTACTGAACAAGCCAGTACATGTACTGCCATCTGTTGAGTTACGAAGCTGGAGGCATTACTTTTCATTCAACCCTCGTAGGAATCGCAAAATACTCTCAACACTTTGGCCTTGTATGTACAAAAGGTGCACTCATTGCCATGCATGGGGATCACAATAGACGGAAATTTTGAATACAAATAATATGACAGTGCAGTCAATGAAAAGAAGCTCTCCAAAGCCACTTCATTAGGACACAAATACAGTAATACTATGACATGAGCATTCACTACTTATACCATAAATGTGTTCTTTTAAAAACAACCTAAAGACCAATTTCATTAAGTGCATCAAACATAATGCAGAGTACTGGTGTGTGTACAGTGACAAGGATATTCAACATTATTGTGATTATTACATTTATACCAACCGTTGCTTTAATTTCAAAGAGAGTGTTAACCCAACCAGTTCTCTCTTTTTCATGTCACAACAAAGACAAGCATTTCCTCCTTTAGTGATAGACAACAGTGACAAAACAAATCTGAAATATAGAGCAACATATGAATGCTTCCAACCCATTCACAGATTTCATGTTGTTTCCTGTCCAGTGTTTTTAAAGGCTGCAGTTATCTTCTTTTTCAAGGTAGCAACAACACAATAAATATACAGATCAACTTTAAAAAAGTCCTGCATGCAGTTCAAAAAATGTTGTTAGTTTTACTTATTATATACCAGGCATGGGCAAACTTTGGCCCTCCAGGTGTTTTGGACTTCAGCTCCCAAAATTCCTAACAGCCGGAATTGTGGGAATTGAAGTCCAAAACACCAGAAGGGCCAAAGTTTGCCTGTGCCTGGTATATATAGTTTTTTTTTCAGAAACCGCTGAAGTTAACAGAAAGTTCTTGAACCAAAATACCAAAGAGAAGGTTTTCTGTTCTTTGAAAATGATTCTTTGGGGCTCATACCTGCCATAGATGTGGGTGAAACGTCAGGAGAGAATGCTTCTGGGACATGGAAAACTCACAGCAACCAAGTGATCCTCTTATTATATTCTAAATAATATGGGAGGCTCAGAAGCAAATGATCCATGAACTGAGTTGTGCGTTTTCTGGGATGTATGGCCATGTACTGGTATGTATGGCTGGTATGTACTGGTATGTATGTACTGGATGTATGGCTGAGGGGGAAAAGGAAGAGACCTGAGGCTGTTAGGAATTGTGGGAGTTGCAGTCCAAAACCTCTGGAGGGCCCAAGTTTGCCCATGCCTGCTTTATACAATAGACTCTAAGGATCTCATGAAATACAGGATCTCCCCCGCTTCTACACACTTTTGAAACAGTTTACAGACTGGGTCCCACAGAGCCTTTCATACGAATGCAAAACTATTTCCATCTGTTGCCTGTAGGACTCAGTCTGTAAACTGTTTCAAAAGTGTGTAGAAATGGAGGATTATAGAGTCCGGAATTAATCGTCTTCACAGCTCCCGATTTGTACGGAAATGGCTGAAGGCGCTTAATAGGATGGGATCTGTCATATTCACCTGCATTAGTGACATTGAAGAGTGGCCGTTCTTGTGGGCAGTCTCCAAATGAGCATCAATGCTCCTGTTCTCGCCAGGAATCCTATTGCATGATTCTTTCACGGTCATTTTAAAAAATATTTATTCATCAGGGGCCATGATAGCACAATGGGGTTCAACCAGAAGCTACAGAAGATCTTGCCGAATGGAGTAGGCGGTTCAAGCCATGGGTCGGGGTGAGCTCCCACCGTCAGCCCTAGCTTCTGCTTACCTAGCAGTTCGAAAACAGCAATGTGAGTAGATAAACAGGTACCGCTTTGGTGGGGAGGTAAAAGATGTTCCTGAAGACATGCCGGCAATTCAATGAGGACAACAGGCTCCTTGTCATGGAAAAATGGAACAACAGCACCTCCCCATGGCCGAGTCGAGCACAGCCTCCAGATGTTGGAGATGAAAAAAAAGAGGGAAGCCTTGCATTTGTTGATGCACTGTCTGTCTTTGTTGTCAATTGTTTAACGGCAATGAATGTTTGCCATATATGCACTCTGTAATCTCCTCTGAGTCAGAATATAAATAAAGTATATTATTATTATTGCACAAACCAGCTGATCCCTAACCCATCTAAAACACAGACATGTGCCTTTCATCTCAAGAAGAGACAAGCATCCTGAGCTCTGAGGATCACCTGGGAAGGAATCCCACTGGAGCATTGCAGCGCACCCAAATACCTGGGAGTCACTCTGGACCGTGCTCTGACCTACAAGAAGCACTGCCTGAACATCAAGCAAAAAGTGGGTGCTAGAAACAATATCATATGAAAGCTGACTGGCACAACCTGGGGATCACAACCAGACACAGTGAAGACATCTGCCCTTGCGCTATGCTACTCTGCTGCTGAGTACGCATGCCCAGTGTGGAACACATCTCACCACGCTAAAACAGTGGATGTGGCTCTTAATGAGACATGCCGCATTATCACGGGGTGTCTGCGCCCTACACCACTGGAGAAATTACACTGTCTAGCCGGTATTGCACCACCTGACATCCTCCGGGAAGTAGCAGCCAATAGTGAAAGGACCAAGGCAGAGACATCTCCAGCTCATCCCCTGTTTGGGTATCAGCCAGCACATCAATGACTTAAATCAAGAAATAGTTTTCTAAGATCTACAGAGACACTCGCTGGAACACCTCAGCAAGCGAGAGTCCAAAAGTGGCAGGCTCAAACCCAGAACCTCAACCAATGGCTGATACCAAATGAGAGACTCCCCCCTGGGCACACAGAAGACTGGGCGACTTGGAAGGGCGAACAGACTGCGCTCTGGCACCACGAGATGCAGAGCCAACCTCAAGAAATGGGGCCACAAAGTGGAATCCACGACATGTGAGTGCGGAGAAGAGCAAACCACTGACCACCTGCTGCAATGCACCCTGAGCCCTGCCACATGCACAAGGGAGGACCTTCTTGCGGCAACACCAGAGGCACTCCAAGGGGCCAGATACTGGTCAAAGGACATTTAATCAACTACCAAGCTTGCAAATTTTGTGTTTTGTCTCTTTGTTTGTTTTGTTCTGTTAGAAATGTAATACAATGGTCTGGTTGCCCCTGACACGATAAATAAACTGCGCAATTTGTTGTTTCTATGTTTTTCCCCTTGTCAGAGCTAGATTTTGGACTTCTGCAATACCGAGGTTTCCCCTTTCTCAATTAAAAAAAGAAAGAAAGCGGTACAGGCAGGGACTACACGTGTCTGTGTGATAGCTCGGGACATGGAGGGTTAGTGTAGAAATGGACAAACGTACATTGAGTGTAATGGGGTGAATATATTATCCATTTTCATCATAAATACAATGGAACAAAATGCTATGTTAAGACGGTTCCCTCTGCTTCCCAACCTCATGGGATGAAGTCCCATGTTTCCCGGCACCATTGGGATTGCTAAATCTCTAGATAAATGTAGTTTCTGGTTGAGAGTTATTATTAAAAATAGGCCTAATTAATACTATACCATACATAGACTCTCCCTCTCTCTCTATATATATATTTCGTGTCGGGAGCGACTTGAGAAACTGCAAGTCGCTTCTGGTGTGAGAGAATTGGCCATCTGCAAGGACATTGCACAGAGGACACCCTGATGTTTTACCATGTGGGAGGCTTCTCTCATGTCCCAGCATGAGAAGCTGGAGCTGACAGACAGAGCTCACCCTACTCCCTGGATTCAAACCACTGATCTTTCAGTCAGCAGCATGCCACCAGGAGCTCCAACTTGATGTGATATTAATATTGAAAGACAACAATTAAAAGCAAATTAAAAACATAATACAACAGTTTTACTTCATATACACATTTTCGTTTTATTTAAAGTATTATTTCTTTGATTTTTTTGTCAGTTGCTTGAGAGTTCTGGTTAACCGAGAGTCTACTATACTAGGATCTCAAAGGTAAAAGGACCACATTCGAATTTCCTGACGCAACCAATAGGTATAACTACCACGATTTGCCATACAATTCCCTGCCATGCACACACACTAACATGTAAACAAAACAACAGAACACAACAGATTCTCAATTATCCAGAACTCAAGCTACCAGTACACTCAAGGAACCAACCAAAAATTAAAACTGAATCATTTTTAAGGGAAATGCAAGTTTAAACTTGGCATGTTACGCCATGCATAAGCCCATGCTAAAAAAGGTTAAAATATATTAGTGAAGTTTATTAAAAGTTGATAAGTCTAATGACTGACATTAAACTAAATTTGCATATTGCATTTACAAAGTTGTCTTTATAACACAGTAAAACTGTGCTGCATTAAGTGAAGTTGTGTTTGTCTTAATTTGCTTTAAATTACCGTATTTCACTATTAATATCAAGTCAATACGGAGATTATAGTATGGTATAGCATGGAGTAAGGGCCCCCTGATGACAAAGAGGGTTAAACTGCAGAGCTCTTGTACTTGCTGACTGAAAGGTTGGCAGTTCGAATCCCAGGAGTGGGGTGAGCTCCTGCTGTTAGCCCCAGCTTCTTTGAATCCAGGGAGCAGGGTGAGCTCCTGCTGTTAGCCCCAGCTTATTTGAATCCAGGGGGTGGGGTGAACTGCTGCTATTAGCCCCAGCTTCTCTGAATCCAGGGAGTGAGGTGAGCTCCTGCTGTTAGCCCCAACTTCTTCGAATTCAGGGAGCGGGGTGAGCTCCTGCTGTTAGCCCCAACTTCTTCAAATCTTTACTTTACCTATAGTATGGGATACAGTATTAGGCCTATTTTAATAGCAACTCTCAAGCAACTAGAAACTACATTTATCCAACATCTATCAAGCTTCATGGGAGCCGGTTAACTGAAGATCCCAAGCAACCAGAAACTACATTTATCCAACATCTAACAAACTTCATGGGTGCCAGTTAACTGAGGCTCTCAAACAACCAGAAACTACATTTATCCAACATCTATTAAGCTTCATGGGTGCCGGTTAAATGAGGCTGGCTCTACATTGTCATATAATCCAGTTTGTGAAACTGGATTATCTGCTTTGAACTGGATTATACAAATGATCTCTGTGTAAATGTGTATTTTTTTTTTTACCCTGCCATATAACTGGGATTCAGAAACTGGATTATATAACAGTGTAGATGCAGCCCGAGAGTCTATTGCATCTCATATCTTCTCTGCATCTCATATTGCAAAAATAAAAGAAGAGCACCTTTCGCTTTTAACACCATCTTCCCCTCATTTTAATGTTCTTGCGTTATTAACATCTATACCTAAGTGGTGAAAGCCATACTTTCAAAAAGTAAATTGTGCACATTTTAAATCAGTGACAAAGCATCGCAGAATTTTGCTTTGCGTTTCCAGTGGGCTCAGCGTAAAACATACTGGAAGCACAGCAAACCAGGCAGGTCTTATTAGATCACCTTTACAAAATCAGAAAAGATAAAAGAAAGATCTGAAATGCTTGACTGGAGAAAGAAGGTCGGTTGCTCTGGAACGGTGAGGATGTCAATGCAGGCTGTGTGTCGACGTGATCAAGCTCTTGTGTAAATTAGGATTTTGACTGTGCCGGTTTCGGCTCCGAACAGAAGAAAACATGGTGTCGCAACCCGGGACTTTGCATTTGTGGAGCTGACGGAGATGCACAGTTTTGTAATGGGCCCTGAAAGTCCCTTTGTTGCTGTAGCTTTTTTGGCATAGATCACAGGTAATGGGCAAACTGGAAGGTAGATTCGAGAAGCTTGGGTCTGAGTTGTCTCTCAGAGAATAGTCTTGGTAGAGTTCTTCATTTGGCATTAAGCAGGTACTTTCACAGCTTTCCTCGCTGTCTTCTGAAGCTCTGGGATCATCGTCCTCACCTCCGTCTGAATCCCAAGAATGGCCACTGCTCTCTGACTTGACGCTTGATGTGGTGCTCAAATCCAGAACGGCGCCATCATGTATTGGGTCGTACCCATAGCTTAAAGGAGAAGGCTCCCCCATCTTGCTCATTGGGAAGACTAGGCTGCCAGTTTTGTTCATCCCTTTAAAGATGACAGATGTCTGTTGCCTGAGGTCTCTTTTCGAGAAGTCATCTGGGACAGCCTCTTTCGCCGTGTCCTTCAAGAGGTATGTTTCATCGAAGCAGTTCTCCTTCATTTCCAAGGGATCTTTGGTTAAAAGCTTGTGGTGAAGATTTATATTGGAGCTATGCCTAGAGAAATAAGAAAGATCATCAGGAATGTTTTATTTATTTATTTATTTCATGTACTTCTACCCCGCCCTTCTCAACTCCCGAGGGGGGACTCAGGGCGGCTTACAAAAGGCACAATTCGATGCCTACACAGTAATACAAATAAGATATAGACAGCAATTAAAAACAGTTATAATAGTTAAGAACAGTCAATATATATCACAGTCAATAAAAAACAATCTTATGCTCAACGTTCGCAACTCAGAGTCCATAGCTTCATTCCATATTTTCCATTCCTATCAATCATCATTGTCCTTTATTTGTCTGCCAGATTGCCCAAACGCCTGGTCCCAAATCCTGGTCCCAAATGCAAACGGAAAATAAATTAATCTCGAAGATATATAAAAAAAACTCTTAGAAGGAGAAGGAAACACAGAAAAGGAGAAAACTTATATGAGAAAGTGGAAAGACAACCTAGGAAGAGAGATAAAGAAAGAAGAATGGGAAGAAGTATGGAATGAGAAACTAAAATACTCGAAAGCAATGGAACTCAAAGAAAATTGGTTTAAGATAGCCCATAGGTGGTATATAACCCCACATAGGGAAATTTAACAAAAACACGAACACAAAATGTTGGAAGTGTGGAAAACAGGAAGGGACATATTATCACCTATGGTGGACCTGCCCAAAAGCGACAAACTATTGGAAAAAAATACAAAAATCGCTACAAAGAATACTGAAGATAGATATATCTTGGAAACCAGAAACCTTCTTATTAGGGATGCATAACATAAAAATGGAAAAAAATAAGGACAAAATCTTATTCCTCTTAACGACAGCAGCTAGAATAATTTATGCAAAACATTGGAAAGAAAAAGATCCCCTGGAGGAAGAGGAATGGCTAACAAAGATCCTTGATATAAGAAACATGGACAAATTAACTTATATACTTTTTTAAAAAAGGGGGGTACTCCAACAGCTGAAATAGACTGGAAACAAGTAACAACATATTTAGTAGAGGAAAAAAAAAGAAAATAATCACATGAAAGAGCCGAAAGAAAATACAAATTAGGGGAGAGCAGAAGAGAGACGAAAGAGGAAAAATACAATAGAGGAAAGGAATGAAGGAATAGGAAGAACCTCCAAAAGACACCGGGAAGTCAATGTCAGATTCACAACAATCACACTCCCCTCCCTCACAATCATTTCTTCAAATTTCCGTTTCTACACCTGGCACACTATATATTTCCAGTAGCCATAAATCAGACTACTCTCTATCCTTCCTATACTACTACCCCCCCCCCCTATTTCTTTCTATCCCCCTTCTACCCTACCCATTCAGTTACTGTATGTTTTTATGAAAAATGAATAAAGATCATTTTAAACACCCAAATCCACGTTTTTAATTTCCTTCTAAAGGAGAGGAGGAATGACAATGATCTAATTTCCCCGCGGAGTAAATTCCATAGGTGAGGGGCTACCACCGAAAAGGCACTGCTCCTTGTCCCCGCCAAACTCACTTGTGATAAAGGCGGGGCCGAGAGCAGGGCCTCCCCGGAAGATCTTAAACTGTGAGGTGGGACGTAGAGGGAGATGCGTTCGGACAGATATGCTGGGCTGGAACCGTATAGGGTTTTGTAGGTCAAAACCAGCACTTTGAATTGTGCTAGGAATTAGATCGGCAGCCAGTGGAGCTGGCACAGCAGGGGGGTGGTGTGCTCCATGTATGACACTCTGGTGAGTAATCTAGCTGCCGCCCGTTGGACTAATTGCAATTCCGAACAGTCTTCAAAGGCAACTGCAGTACTCTATTCGGGATGTAACAAGAGCGTGGACCACCGTGGCCAGATCAGACTTCCCAAGGTACGGGCGCAGCTGGCGCACAAGTTTTGTGCAAAAGCTCTCCTGGCCACTGCTGAGACCTGGGGTTCCAGGCTCAGTGATGAGTCCAGGATCACTCCCAAGCTGCGAACCTGCGTCTTCAGGGGGAGTGTAACCCCGTCTAACACAGGCTGTAACCCTATGCCCTGTTCGGCCTTACGACTGACCAGTAGGACCTCTGTCTTGTCTGGATTCAGTTTCAATTTGTTAGCTCTCATCCAGTCCGACACAGCAGCCAAACACCGGTTCAAGGTCTGGACAGCCTCCTTGGTGACAGGAGGGAACTATCTTTTACAGCAGTGTTTCTCAACCTTCCTCATGCCATGACCCCTTAATACAGTTCCTCATGTTGTGGTGACCCCCAACCATAAATTATTTTTGTTGCTACTTCATAACTGTCATTTTGCTACTGTTATGAATCGTCATGTAAATACCTGATATCCAGGATGTATTTTCATTCACTGGACCAAATTTGGCACAAATACTCAATACACCCACATTTTAATACTGGTGGGCTTGGGGGTGGGAATGATTTTGTCATTTGGGAGTTGTAGTTGCTGTGATTTATAGTCCACCTACAATCAAAGGAGAGAATGCTTCTAGAACATGGCCATATACGGCTCCGGCCCAGCTTACTTATCCGAACGTATCTCTCTCTATGTTCCACCTTGAAATTTCAGATCTACTGGGGAGGCCCTGCTTTTGGTACCACCGGCATCACAAACGCCTCTGGTGGGGACGAGGGACGGGGCCTTCTCAGTGGTGGCCTCTCGCTTGTGGAATTCGCTCCCCAATGAGATTAGATCGGCGTCCTGCCTCCTCACTTTTAGGAAAAAACTAAAGTCATGGTTTTGGAGTCAGGCTTTCGGCTAGTGGACTTAGCAGCACTTAGACACTGATCCGGAGCACAGGATTATGACAACAGAAAACAGATATGTGATTTTGATTAGGCGACTATGTTAGTATATGAGTATGTGATTTTAATTAACGTTATTGTTAATTTTCTATGTATTTGATTTTATGTTGTTGTATTGATATTATGGCATTGAATTGTTGCCTATGTCAGCCGCCCTGAGTCCCCCCTCGGGGGTGAGAAGGGCGGGGTAGAAGTGATGTAAATAAATAAATAAATAATATAATATAATATAATAATACTGTTTAGTTAAGTTTAGGAGCCCCCGGTGGCGCAGTGGGTTAAAGCACTGAGCTGCTGAGCTTGTTGATCGAAAGGTCGCAGGTTCGATTCCGGGGAGCCGCGTGAGCTTCTGCTGTCAGTCCTAGCTTCTGCCAACCTAGCAGTTCGAAAACATGCAAATGTGAGTAGATCAATAGGTACTGCTCCGGCGGGAAGGTAACGGCGCTCCATGCAGTCATGCTGGCCACATGACCTTGGAGGTGTCTACGGACAACGCTGGCTCTTCGGCTTAGAAATGGAGATGAGCACCACACCCCAGAGTCAGACATGACTGGACTTAATGTCAGGGGACTACCTTTCCTTTATAGGTTTATTTCCTCCAAACTCCATCTGTGTTCATATTTGGGCATATGGAATATTTGTGTCAAGTTTGGTCCAGATCCATCATTGTTTGAGTCCATAGTGCTCTCTGGATGTGGGTGAACTACAACTCCCAAGCAATGTAAATAAATAATAATAATAATAATAATAATAATAATAATAATATAGCCTAAAAAACCTACAACAACCCAGTGATTCCAGCCATGAAAGCTTTCGACAATAAATTACATTTATTGTACATTTTGGTGCTTTTTAAATATATATATTAGGGCTGGGTAACCACGGAAAAAATTGTTTCTAAACTCGATTTGTTTCCAGGGGTGCTAGCATTTCCAAATTCTAAATACTTCCGAAATTTTGAGATTTCAAAATTTCGTTATTTACAAAATTTCGTTAATTTCGAATCGATTCGTTAATGGCGGACGCGATTGCGCAATATGCTAAAAAAACCTCCAAATGGGACAGGGGGAACTTCTGAAGCTTCCCTCTCCCTCTGTTGTTGACTGTTGGTGTGATAATTTATTTTTTATCACTGATAAAACAAACAACAACTATAAAACTTGCACCAGACATACGGAAATAATTACGAAACAATTACGAAACAATTTCGAAACAATTTTGAACCAATTACGAAACAATTACAAAACAATACGAAATAAATTGGAAAAATTGTTTCGATTTTTAATTACTCCTCACACTATTCCTGCATGGCTCAATATTGGATCATAAGCTAATTTAAATACAAATTAATAACGAATTACGAAATTAACGAATGAAACCGCCCAGCCCTAATATATATATATATATATATATATATATATATACACACACATTTACACAGAGATCATTTGTAAATCATTTTCTTACCTGTCCCGGCTTCTGCGAGAAGGGAAAGCAGCATTACAACCCTGCACCGTGCAAAGATGCATTTCTTTGAGGTGCACATTTTTGAAATGCAGTTTTACACTGTAAGGGGTCTTAAAAGTCTTCTTACAGATGTCACAGTGGAAGCAACCATCTCCCTTAGAAGGCCCCAGGGCATGTTGATTGACATAATCCATATCTTTCAAGGCTTCGGACCCAGGAATGGCTGCACTTCTACTGGAGAGTGATCCGAACCCACTCCCACGCAGCAAGTGGAGATGCAACTCAGAGAAGTCATTCCCAAAAACCTTGCAATTCAACTGCCCCTTAAGACAGCCATGGGCTTCGGCAGCTGCTTTGAATCCATCACGTTGCTGATTTAGATCTTCACATCCATTTTCACTCGGAGTTGTTTGTAACAATTTGCTCAGTTCTAGCTTATCCTTTTTCTCGGAGTGATGCAATTCATCTGCTTTGATGCCCAGCTTATTTGACTTGAAAGATTTTGGTTCTTCAACTTCAGAAAAAGATTTCCACGATACCTCTGAATGGGATTGCTTGTCTACAGAATGGTTCACATTGTGTTCTCCCCTGGACTTTTGCATCTCCGCTTGCCCTTCACGGACCACTTGTGGAGGTAAGTCATCTTCCAAGCTGGCAACTTCATTCACAACTCTTGCTCTTTCAGCAGCTCCCTTCTCTATCTTGATGGGCATGCTAGACTTACGGGATTTTTTCTTAGGCAGCACCCCAAAAAGCGATTCATTGGAAACCAACGGCTCAGGCGTCGAGGAGGAAACCAGAGGGAGAGAAGGAAGGCTGCCCGGTGTGTTTGCTAACTCTGCTGGAGCAACCGGATTGCGATAGAAAGGAAGAACTGGTTGGACTGTCTTCAGGTTTGGAAAGAGAATGCCGTTTTGTCCAGCGCCGTGAAAACCTGGTTGCACTTTGGACTCAATGCAAGAACTTCCATAGCTAGGAACCGATCTGTTATCTGGAGGTAATAAGGGAAAATCCGTCTTTTTGATCTCTTCCAGTCCGTTGACGGCCAACCCATTCCTCAAATCTTTGTCGCGGTTGTTTCGGTTCATAGGCATGTGGAGCCGAGGGTTGGGGTTGGCGCTGTGGCGATTCCGACTTCGCAGAGAGCTAAACACCATGTTGCAGCCTTCAATGATGCATTTGTGTTTGATCTTCAGGTGGACAGCATTATAGTGGATCTTCAGCGTTCCTTTGTCGTAAAATGTCTTTTCACACGCAGTGCAAAAAACACGCCCTTTCCTCATCCCGGTTCCATTCTTTTCAATAGATTTCGCCTGACTTTGTGGGGAAACCTGGCTCACTTCGAGCCTTGCGTCGGCATTCGGAGAGTTCATATCCCTTGGGGAAACATCCTGCTCTGGCTTCATGGTATCTGGACTGGTCGCAGCCTTCTCTTTTTCAGCTTGAAATGAAGCATTGGGCATCAAGAAGATGTTTTCTGAAAACGGTGTACGAACATCTGGCTTCAGATCATTGCTATCCTGAGGTTGTTCCATCAGAAGCCTCTCAGGAGGTGAACCTATAAGAGGTGGAGGCACCGGGCTAAAAATCTGAAACGGCAGCATGAAAGCCATGTTGTGCACCACATTTTCGAAGTGATGGATGTTCACAGGGTTAATTTTGTCTAAAGATGTAGACAAGGCTAGATTCCTCTGATTGCAGCTTTCAATGAATGCCCTTATATCCATGTTAGCCGATGCAGACGGGATGATGACAGACTGCCCCTCTTTCTCCTGAATTGCCATGAGCTCGACGATGGGCTTTGTTTCACCGAAACGTAGAAACTGCTGCAAAGTCGCCAACTCCTCTTCGCCAGTCATGATGCTCCAGTGATCCAGGACCTTTCCAGAAGCATCCTAACAAAGACAAAAAAAAAAACAAAAAACATGAGCAACATCACAGAACTATTTAATCGACATGGACACTTTAATGGAGTGGTTTCCATCTTCAGCTTAAAGAAACTGCACCTTAAATTGCTAATATGCAGGAGATTCTTGCAACTTAAGTCCCACAACATTGCTATTAAGCAATCCCTGCTTAATAGCTTTTATTCAACTTATACCAAAGCTGGGTTGTTGTAGGTTTTTCAGGTTTTATGGCCATGTTCTAGAAGCATTCTCTCCTGACGTTTCACTTGCATCTGTGGCAAGCATCCTCACAACCTCTAAGGATGCTTCCCACAGATGCAGGTGAAATGTCAGGAGAGAATGCTTCTAGAACATGGCCATACAACCTGAAAAACCTACAACAATCCACTGATTCCAGCCATGAAATCCTTTGACAATACATCGTACCAAAGCTGCTTCGAAACATTGTTCTTTTAGTCACATGAGAGACATGATCCCACCCGCGTCGCAAGCGCGCTTGGTGGGAACGCGAGACAGGGCCTTTTCTGTGGTGGCCCCCCGACTCTGGAACACCCTCCCGAAAGATCTCAGACAAGCCCCTACATTGGCAGTCTTCAGGAAGGAATTGAAAACCTGGCTGTTCCGATGTGCCTTTTCAGATTAGGAACCTCCAGCACCAAATCCTAGAAGCACCTTAGTAGAACCAAGATCACTGCACACTGCACACCGCACTTATATTATAATCCTACATCCCTCCCGCCACATCAGCACTTTTTAACCCTGTACCCCTACTCCGGCCGGCCCAGTTTTAATAGTGTCTTGTTGTATTGTTACTGTTATTGTTTTCCTGCTTAACTGTTTTTAATTTGCTTTGGGTATTGTATTGTTGTATTGTGTTTTTGGGGCTTCGGCCTGTGTAAGCCGCATCGAATCCCTTGGGAGATGCTAGCGGGGTACAAATAAAGTTATAATAATAATAATAATAATAATAATAATAATAATAATAATAATGACAGCCATGGCTTCTCTCACACATTTGCAAACCACTCTCTTGCTCACCAGCTATATGAAATAGGGTCCATCTACATCAGTGCTTCCCAACCTTGGGTCCAGATGTTTTTGGCCTACAACTCCCAAAAATCCCAGCTAGTTTACCATTTCTGGGAATTGTAGGCCAAAAACACTTGTGGACCCCAGGTTGAGAACAACTGATCTACATGGTAGAATTAATGCAGCTGGAAACCACTTTAACTGCCATTACTCAATACTATAGAATTGTACAAGTTGTAGTTTTACAAAGTCTTTAGCTTTCTCTTCCCCACCAAAGTTCAAATCCCATGGGAAAAGGGGAGAGGCGGCGGGCCCTTCGTTCTCTCATCCGCTGCCTTTTTTGCACTGCTTTCAGTGCTCCATCTGCCCCGTGTTCAGTGGGGAGGTGGGGAGGTGGAGGCGAGCCCTTCGCTCTCTCCCTCCTGCCCTATCCTTGGGCACGAGGCCGATGGAGTGCTGAAAGGGGCACAAAAAGGCAGTGGGGGAGGAAATGAAGAGCCCCCCACCTTCCTGCAGGCTGTGGGGCTAGCGAAGCACCAAAGGCAGCGCAAAAAGGCAGGGCCCCTCCGCCACCCCCGATTCTGCATCCCCATATGCCATGAGGCCTCTGGGTCTCCCCATGTGGCATGAATATCAATGCGCGGGGGGGGGGGGGGTGAGTGAAATGCCCTCTGCCACTCACTGGCTGTGATGCAGGCCATGCATGCTGGGGGGGGCACAGAAGTGGAGGGTCCTTTGCTCACACACCTCCACGCATTCTAGTCATCAAAGGTATTTCAACTTTAGAGCAAGTTCTTAACATGACTATATATCAATTATTAAGTATAACAGATGGTGGGATTTGTAGTACCTTCAACAGCATCATATGTTGTCCATACACCCTTCCAAACCCCTCCAGTATTTTCTGTTCGTCATGGGAGTTCTGTGCGAGTTCTACCTTTTATTTTTCAGTGATTGCTTTGGGGGGGGGGGGTCACCAAAATACTGTTTGCTTACACTTGAAAATTACCTAGGGCTGGCCCTGGTAGCATGTGCCATTGTAAACTGTTGGTTCCAGCACATCAAAAACAGAGCTGTGGTTTTAAGGAGGGGAAATTATTTTGCTACTGTTATTAAACCTTTTATTTTTCAGTGATTGCTTTGGGGGGGGGGGGGGTCACCAAAATACTGTTTGCTTACACTTGAAAATTACCTAGGGCTGGCCCTGGTAGCATGTGCCATTGTAAACTGTTGGTTCCAGCACATCAAAAACAGAGCTGTGGTTTTAAGGAGGGGAAATTATTTTGCTACTGTTATTAAACACCTGGAGTCAGAAATCCACACCAATTTATAGCAAATTATCCACAGATCTATCATTAGAACTGGACAAAGAGTAGAAGGTATTGTGTAGTGGTCCCACCAAACATTGAAATATGAGCCACACATATATAAGATGTCTATAGTCAAGTGTACTTCCAATGCAAGTTTAATAATCTTCCAAGCTGCTAAGATCAGAGAACAAATGAACCTGCATCGATCCTTCACCAGTGTTCACAGAGCACAGCTGTAATTACACCAGAGTCTTGGAGTTCTTTCAAACTCCAGCCATACCGAACTTTTCCCAATAACTACAATAAATATTTTATCACAGAACATGTATTTGATGGCCTACTGAGAGTTTTCGCTGGGCGTGCAAGACTTTTATAAGAAGATGAAGAATGTATCATCATCAATTTTTCATGCAAAAGAGGTTCAAGGTAATTGAGGCCATATTTTTTTTTAAAAAAACCCTAACACTAAAAAGCAAAATTATCAAGTGGCATTAAATATTAATTTGTGTCATAACGTAAATTATAATGTTGCTTTACATTAAAAAGAGTGCGCTGGCTGAGAGGCAGGGAAGCTCACTTCTGCCATTGATGCTGGCAAAGTTCAAAATGACATTACTCCAACAGAAAAAAATATATATTATGTTTTGGAAAACCACTGGTCATATAACCTTTTGGAAAAATTGAAATCTCTAGAACCCTTTTGGAGATTTTATGATCTTTCAAAAGGAATGACCTGGTTAGAAGTCACAATCTTTTGTAAAATGATGCCAAAACCTCTTGGTAAAAGCACGATGTGTTACAGCCGTGATGGTGAACCTATGACACGTGTGTCAGCACTGACACACATGCCTATTTTTGATGACACGCAGCCACATGCAGCCGCATACAGAGAAGTACACCTTATAAGAGACAATCTAATTCCATCCTTAAATTTGTAAAAGGCTCTACAAATTTAACATCTGCATGTTTGACCATTGTTCACTCCATAACTCAGCACGGAATATAAATTTTTCTTATTTAAACTATAAATATTGCAAAATTATGGGMTTTTTTTTCTCGAAGTTGACACTCCACCCAAGTTATGCTCAGGTTTTAGGAAAATTTTGACACACCAAGCTCAAAAGGTTGCCCATCACTGTGTTAGAGTCATAATCTTTGGGAAAATGGCYTTCACCAGCATTCATGCAAGGCAACTAGGTTTCTCGGCTGTTAAACTGATGTACCCAGGCATGTCTTTGAACTGTTAGGGACAAAGATATGCCGATGCACAAACATATGTATATTATTCAGCAGAGTTTCAGAAGTGTTCCTTTTAGTTGCCCAAAAACATCTCATAATAATAATAATAATAAACCTTTATTTATACCCCACTACTATCTCTCGTAGAACTTGGTGCAGCTTACAAGAGGCCGAGCCCAAATACATCATAAAACATAACAACAACAAACAACAATAAATAACTCATAACAAAGCAAAGCAATACAATAATGACACGACGCATTCTAAAAACTTGAGGCAGGGCCAAATGTAAGGATTAAAATTTTAAAAATGCTGGGCATGTTCAAGGGAAATAGGATGGATATTTTAGGGATAGGTGGGCATGCAGACAGTTCTAGTCTCTCATAAAGTGCATTTAGGATTCCTTATTCTGGGAAGGTACACTGGAACATCCACGTTTTCAAGCTCCTTCTAAAGACTGCCAACGTTGGGGCCTGCCTGATGTCCTTGGGGAGGGAGTTCCAGAGTCATGGGGCCACCACCGAGAAGGCCCTGCCTGATGTCCTTGGGGAGGGAGTTCCAGAGTCATGGGGCCACCACCAAGAAGGCCCTGACCCTCGTTCCCACCAATCACGCTTGTGAAGCAGGTGGGATCGTGAGCAGGGCCTCTCCAGATGAACGAAGAGATAGTGTGGGTTTGTATACAGAAATGCAGTTACGCAGGTAAATGGGTCCCAAACCGTTTAGGGCTTTGTAGGTGAGCACCTGCACTTTGAATTGGGACCGGAAAATGAACGGCAGCCAATGGAGCTCCTTAAACAGGAGGGTTGACCGCTCCCTGTAAGGAGCACCAGTTAACAATCTGGCCACCGTCCGTTGAACCAACTGGAATTTCCAGGCCATTTTCAAGGGCAGCCCCACGTAGAGTGCATTACAGTAGTCCAATCTGGAGGTGACTAAGGCATGGACCACCCCGGCCAGATCCGCCTTCACGAGGTACGGTGCCAGTTGGCACACGAGTCTCAATTGTGCAAAGTAGATCTACTCTCCCTTATTTGCCTTTAAATCATGTTCTCAAAAGACAAAATAAACAGCCTTCTTTAAAAGTAACATTTAATCACAAACTTAATGTATTCAGCATACAGGTACTTTGCTTATCAATCCAGTTACAAGTAGATTTGAAGTAATTTCTCTGCATAGATAACACAGGGCATCATTCTTATAAACAATAGTCCATAGTCCAAAGTATCTCTCTGTTTTGAGAGTCTAATAGAGTCTCTGTCTAGTCTGAAAGTCCAGTGGAGTCTAATGGCTTCTGTACAGTATTGTTCCTTGTGAAATCTAAACAGTACTCTTCCTGCAGTTTTCTAGAAGCATAGTAAAGGTAAAGGTTTTCCCCGACATTAAGTGTAGTCGTATTCGACTCTGGCG